CCCCCCCACCTTCCTTCCCCCCTTCCGCTCCTGTTCTTCCTTTCTCCACCCTCCTGGAGGCTCCTGCTCCGGCCCCTCCTGAACAAAGGCCCCGTAGCCATGGTTAATAATCCCCACAGAAAGGCCCTGCTCGAGAGGAGAGGAAGGAGAGAGGAGACAAAGGAGCCGCTGGGAGCCAAGCCGAGGAAGGGGGCTGGAGGGAGGCGTTTTCCTGAGCTGGAGGACACAGCCCCGAAGAGGGTCCCAGAGGTGAACAGGGACGGGGCAGGGGTACCCCGAAGTGACCTCACGGCACAAAGGGAGCAGAGAACCAAAGGCTGGACAGCCCAGGAGGGTTCCTGTGCTTACCCCAGCGTGCAAAGCCCTGTGTAAGCCCTAGAGCCTCCCAAAATGAGCAGCAGGGACTGGCAGAAGGTGCCCTGAGGGTGAGGGGAGCAATGGCAGGGGGGCATGCAGAGCTCCTGGGCGGTGTGGGAACGCTCGGCGCTGGCCCACATCCCATCCTTTCCCCGGGGAGCGGGGCCTCTCGCGGCCTGACAGTGTTGTGTGAAGAGGTGCAGGCCTGGCTGGACACAGCCAGAACCTTCCACCCTGCACAGCTGCCCTCCATCCACCCTGGAGACCTGCAGGGAGCAGGGCCAGCCCCCAGCCTGTGGGCACTGAACCATGCCAGCCCCCAGCCCATAGGAACCAGGCCAGCCCCCAGCCCATGGGAACCATGCCAGCCCCCAGCCCATGGGCACCAGAGCCAGCCCCCAGCCCATGGGCACTGGAACCAGGCCAGCCCCCAGCCCATAGGAACCAGAGCCAGCCCCCAGCCCATGGGCACCAGAGCCAGCCCCCAGCCCATGGGCACCAGAGCCAGCCCCCAGCCCGTGGGCACCAGAGCCAGCCCCCTGCCCATGGGCACAAGACCCAGCCCCCAGCCTGTGGGCACTGAACCATGCCAGCCCTCAGCCCATGGGCACTGGAAGCATGCCAGCCCCCAGCCCATGGGCACCAGAACTGGAGCAGTCCCCAGCCCATGGGCACCAGAACTGGAGCAGTCCCCAGCCCATGGGCACTGAACCATGCCAGCCCCCAGCCCATGGGCACTGGTGAGGGTTCACAGGGGGCAGCTGGCACAGAGTACCCCAGGCACCCCCCAGAGCCCACCCCAGCTTCTCTGGGCTTGGCTGCAGGGCTCGGGGAAGGCACAGGGCCCCCATCCCACCTGGGACACAGGAGCAGCCTGTCAGGACAGGCACAGGCACAGCCCACGCTGGGCCAGCTCCCTCTGGCAGCATCGCAAGGTCCCCACATCAGCAGGGATCTGTCTGGGAGTGCAGGAAAAGCTGGGAGAGCTGAAGTGTGTGCTGGGATGCACAGCCCCAGGCCTGGCTCCGTGCTGACCATCGCTCCCCTCCAGCTGCAGAGAGCCAGGCCTGGCAGGAGCCAGAGGAGGGAGGAAAATGCAAGTGCACAATTCCAGATCATTCCCGCAACCTGTGATGCTCAGATAACGCCGGGAAATCAGCCCTGCCCTGGGCAGGGTCCTGTGGATCCCAGGTTTCCAGCAGCTGTGCCAGGGACTGGCAAAGCCTCACCTCTGCCAGGGGCAGAGCTGCCTGCCCAGGCACGGCCTCATCTGAGCCGTGGCAGGAGGGATGGAGGAGGAGGGTGCTGGGAGCTGCGGGGCCCAGGCACCAGTATCCCTCCCCTGCCAGGGACTGGGAGCTCTGGGAGCTGCTCTGTGCCTCAGGTGGGGCCAGACCTCTGCTCCCTGGCTTTCCCACCCCAGCTGCATGCGTGGGACTGCAACAGGGGAGCCTGATCCACAGAGTGTGTGCATCGCTGCGAGTGGGGACTGCAGCCAAATCCATTAAGCAAGCAGATAAACAAGAAGGCGTGAGATCAGGCAGCAGGGAGGGAAGATGAAGGTGGCCAGCCTGCCACGCTCCCCACGCAGAGTCCCCGAGCCCGCCGGGTGCCACACACAGCGTGGCGGGGTGATTTCATGCCATCTGTTCATGCCTTGATTTCCAATCCTGCCCCTCTCCCCCAGAGTTATTCATTTGCTGGGGGGGAAAAAGCACGAGTTTTCTTCAAAGTTAAGCAGGCTGAAGCCCGACCAACTGGAGGCAGAGCTGTGCAGTGAGAGCAGGGGGCTGCCTGAGGGTGGCATGCTCCCCAGCCTGTTTTCCCCAGGGAGTGGCATTGCCCTTTCCAACTGCTGGGAATTTTCTGCAGAGGTTTTCTTAGCAACGTTCTGCTTTATTTTTAACGCAGAATAAAAGTTAGCCCCAGAACAAAATGCACCAGGGGTGTGTCAGCCGAGCTCTCCCGCTTTGTTTGTTTGACTTTGGTGGATGCTTTCCCCTGGGCCTCCTTCCCTCTCGGGGTGGCATTTGAGGGGTGTTTTGTGGCAAGTGGAACATCCCTTTCGCTGCTCCAAGGAGAGCAGAGCCTGAGGCTCCTCCGGTGCTGCATCCTGCCCTTTGGAGGGAGGGGAAGAGTGGGAACATTGTCAGGGAGCCTGGGGTACCCACTTGGGGTGGATTTCCCCACCACAGACAGGGAGCTCCTGCCATGAGGTGTGAGAGCATCCCAAAACTGAGGCTGCGAGGCTGGAGAGCAGCTCCTGAGCATCCTGTGGATGATGGCACGGCTCCCTTGCACTTGTTCTTCCCAGCAAAGGGAGGAGGCCTCTCCTGTCCAGCAGCAGCGCGAGGGCTCTCAGCCTTATCGCTGCCCAGCATTGCCATTTTAAGCAACTGATCTCCTGGGGAAAAAACTTAATCATTTCCGATGAATCACTGAGTGTGTTTGGCTGGGAAAGTCTTGTGGGGGGGGTGCCGGTCAGCCGTGCAGAGGAGGAGGAGGAGAGGAGGAGGAGGAGGAGGAGGGCATGGGAAGGGCCGCTGCATGGCACCAGCCGGGGAGCAGCGCTGGGGCTGGGGGCCAGCACAGGGGGCTGGCGGTGGGAGAGGCGCCTGGGAATTCCCAGAAGGAATGCTGCGCCTCAGGGGAACCTGCAGCCCCGCCCTGGAGTGGCTCGGGGAGGGTCGGAGGGATGCAGCCCCTGCTGCCGGGGGACGGGAATGCTGCAGGGAAAGCAAGTGGAGGAGAGAAAAGATGTGCAAAAGTTCAGAGTGTCCGGGCTGAGAGCGGGAGGAGGGCACTGTCGCAGCCCTGGGTCTGTCCCCTTGTGTGATGAATCTGAATCAGTGAGTTTCCGATGTCCTGTGAGCGGGGAAGCTTTGAAGGTGAAGAAAACCTTTGTACTCCAACAGCCCCTCTGGCTCTGACTGACCCGGGGAAACTGAGGCACGGAGCCAGGCTGTGACAGCACAGGGTGGCTGGGGCCGCCCGTGCTGCGTGGCTGGCTGCGGGCAACTCGCAGCACCTGGCGGGGTTTGTCGCGCTCCTCCCGGCTCTGCCCCGGGCTGCCGGAGGGGCCGGGCTGGGTGATTACCCCTGGATAATGGGAGCCTTGTGCAGCACGGCGAGCCCCCCCGCCCCCGGGCCGGCCCCCGGCCAGGCTGCTGCCCCGGCCACGGCGGGGAACAGCTTCTCCACAGCCGCCCCATTCAGCAACAGCTGCGCGGGGGCTCGGGCCGCGCGTCGCTGTGATGCCCTGGGGCCCCGCCTCGGGGACACACGAGTGGGGCTGGGGGACACCGAGGCTCAGCGGGGGCTGGGGTGCCAGCCCTGCAGACCCTGGTGACCCGCCTGGACACGAGCCTGCTCCGCCCCCCCCCCAGCCCAAACTGCCCCCAGGTGTCCGTCGGAGCCCAGACAATGACAAGCAGTGGTTTTTTTCTGCCTGTTTTGAGTCTGTGCTTGTTTGGCGTGGGTTCAAAGGTGACCCCCCAGCTGTGGCTGGGCTTTAGGGCAGTGTGGGGCCGGGGCTGAGCAGGGCAGTAGGTCACTTCTGATTATCGCCGCTGCTACCTGCACATTGGACTCTCAGGGACTGTCGCGTCGCCGGCACTCCCCAAACACTCCGAAAAACACATCCCACGCCTCAGCCCCCTTCTCTGGGTCTGTGAGTGATTCCACCTCCAGCGCCCGGCTGTCTGCCTGCCCCAGCCCGTGCACGCCCGGACAGGCAGGAGCTGGCAGGTCTGCGAGCCCCTGGGCGCAGCTGGGGCCGGGCGGGGGCCGGGCTGGGGCCGAGCCGAGCCGTGCCCGGGGCCGTGCGGGGCCGGACACCGCGCTGCGGGGCTGGACACCGCGCTGCGGGGCTGGGCCGCGACGGCGCCCGCCCGGCTGCTGCTGGGGGTGATAAGCTGCTGCGGGCGGTGGGCAGGCACCGCGCCTTCCTCCTCCTCCTCCTCCTCCTCTCCTCCTCCTCCGCCTGACGTCAGCCCGCGGCCCCGCTCAGTCTCGGGCGGCCGGCGGCGGGCATGGCTGGGGGGCGGCGGCCGGCGGGGCTCGCCCTGGGCTGGGGCTGCTGCCTGCTGCTGTGCTGCGGTGAGTGGCTGCGGGAAGGGCCGGGCGGTGCGGTGCGGGGCCGGGCGGTGCGGGGCGGGCGGACGCGCGCACCTGCGGAGCTGCCCGGGGCGCGGCGCGGGGTCCCGCGGAGCCCCGGCGGGGATGTCCTTCGCCCCGGGGGACACCGGGGGTGCGGGGCTGGATTTTGCCGCTGTGCAGCTCCCCGAGGTGGCAGCCGGAGGGGTGTCCCCGCAGAGCCGCGGCGGGGCCGGCGCCGGCAGCCGGGAGCGCTGCGCCCCTCGGGCGGTGCCTGGCGCGGCTCCGGGAATGCTCGGATCGCGGGGTCGGGGCAGCCCAGGTGGGATCGGCCCTTCCCAGCGTGTGTCCCCGCCCGGATGGCCCCGCGATCCGCGGCGGGGCGGGTCTGCGTGCCCCGTCCCGCTCTCGGGGCCCCGCTGCAGCCCCCCCAGCGCAGCGCAGGTTGAGGGGTGACCCACGTGCGTTCAGCGCGCACCGGGGTGAGCTGCTTGTTGTTAGGAAGCATCCACCCCTTTCCTTCTAAGGAGTTTTCCCCTGAGCGCTGTGTTTCTCTTGGCTTTTTTCGTGCTTTCTTTTTTTATCCACTTTCCAGTCCATTTTCACCCTCGGGGGGTGGCTGTGCTTCCTGCCCTGCCCCGCTCCTCGCATCCCGCCCTCCCCTCGCCGGGAGCCCGGGAGCGGTCCCGGTGCGCTGGCTGCTCCCAGCCCCGCTGAGCTGCGGAGGTGGCCCCGGCGCTGGGAACCTGCCCGGGCCGAGGTGTTGGAGCCAAAGTCAGGCTCAGAGCGGAGTCTAGAGCAGGCTGCTCCCACCCCCGTCCCGTGCCGGGATCCCCTTCCCACAGCCCGTGTGCCGAGCCAGGAGTCTCTCAATGGTTGGCGGCGTCGGTGTATTTGGAAGCCCAGCCACGTGAAAGGCTTGATGCTTCCCAGAAGCACAAGGGGCCACGGCCAAGACATTCCCAGGCCAGCTAGCGCTGCTGGAACGGGGGGCTGAGCCCACCCCGGGGCTGCCTGAGCCACCCCATCCCTTTGTGCTCCGCGGTCTGGCTGTAAGAGAGGTGTCTGCCTGTTGTCACCCAGCTGCGGGGTGGGGTTGAGAGCTTTGCCTCTCCAGGTGCACATGGCGGGGTCCTGACAGGGTGGTGGGGTTGTTTTGGGGTGCAAGGTGCTGCTCCCTGCTGCAGCAGAGCCCTGGCATCGTCCCCATCCCGGGCAGGGTGCGGGCTGGGCGGAGGCTGTCGGTGTGAGGAGGTGTTGGGTGTTGCTGGTGTGTTGCTTCTTGCGGGGCTGGGGCTCTGCACCCTCTTGCTTCTCTCTGTGAAGCAGACAGGGTGCGGGTGATGCTGCTTTGGGTCACCCCGGCTCTGCGATCTGTGCAGCTTTCTGAAGGAATAGGAGGGGTAGCATGTGTGGCTGCGCCGGCAGCAGGCGGGATCTGGCCGCAGCTGGTTTTCCTGAGAGGGGAACGCAAACCCACGGAAACCTCAGGCATCCCATGTGCGGCTCCAGAGCCCCGCGGTGCCTCTCTCTTGCTCCGGGCGGGGGGCTCTGTGCCGCCAACGCAGCCGCGCTTCTCGCCTTCTCGCCGCACACCTCGGCTCTGCAGGAGGCTGGCGAGGGACTGTGCTGCTCCCCACCCCCTTCCCCAGCTCTAAAAGCAAATCTTTGTTCTTGTGGAGCTCTGGCTGCCGGCCGGCTGTCCGCCAGCCAGATGGAAAAGGCACGGGGGCTCTCCTTCCTTCCCTGCTCGCTCCCTGCAGACGCCCTCTCCAGATCTCGAGGTCTCCGGCTGGAGCTGTGCCAGGCCCTTGGGGTGGATGGAGCTCGGTGCTGCAGCTGGGCTGCTCCACGCCTGGCTGATGGATCTCCCCAGGTTCCATCACCAAACCTGCAGCTGCGCTGGGCACAAGGGAGGATTGCCAAGTCCCCGGAGCCTGCTGTGCCAGGCTGGCTGTGCCCAGTGCCTCTTTAGCCTGCCCACGCACAGAGCAAAAGGTCTTGGAGCTGTAGAAGCGAGCCTTGTGTCCCCAGGGTTGTGGGGGGCCTTGTGAGTGTCCCCTTGTGTCCCTCTTCCAGCCTGTCCCGGAGGAGGTGGGGAGCACTGAGCCCTTTCTCCAGGCAGGGTGGGGGCTGCAGCGACCGTGTCGGCCTCCTCAAGGGCAGTGGATGGCTGGGAGGGTTGTGATCCTCATGCCAGCCCCGGATGCCAGCCATTCTCCAGCTCTGAGCTCATGGTTTCGGTTGCTCCGCTGCCTGGTTGAGGGCTCTCATGCCGAGCGGGTCAGGGGGAGGGCCAGCTGCTCTCCCAGGGGCTGCCTCTGCCTGGGGCCCTTGCCAAAGGACTGAAAATGATGGAGAGGCAAAGTCTGGCCTGGCTGCCTGCAGTCAGAGTGCCAGGGCTCAGGGGAGGCTGCGTGGGGTCAGCAGGGACACACCCCAGCCCCAGGCTTGCCCGGTCGTGCAGGTGCCCTCCCGCAGCAGGCAGCCAAGTGGTGGCTGTACAGGTGGGCAGCTGCCTCCTGTGCAAAGTTATCTTTTCCTTTGTATTCTCAGCCAGTTTCCTGTCCCCGCTGCGTGCTTATCTCTGGGACTTTCACCTGTTTTTCCAGCACCTTCTTTGCTGTGCTGTGATTTGCTCACCTCTCTGTGCCAACTGTAATACGCTGACGGGATGGGCGAGGGTCAAACCCCGCGTGCTGGGGAGTTCTGAGGCGGCTGGTCCTGCGTGGCGGGGCCTTTGCTGTGGCAGAAGGGCTCCTGGCTGCGTTTTGGCCTTGTGCCACCACGTACCCACTCCAAACAAAGAGCATTTTGTGGGCACGGCGCTGCCCTTTGAAGTCGCCCGGTGGTGGCTGTTACGGAGCGGGCGCTATCAAGGGAGATGTTGACACAGCTGCTTCCTCCAAGCCTCTCATCCCCAGCTCCCATACCTGGGCTGGCTCTGTTGCTTGGGGACAGGCTGTTGTCCCCTCTGCAGGGCCGTGTGCCAGCCCAGGGCGTGCAGACCCCCCTTTGCTTTGGTGGGGTGGTGGCAGTGACACTGCCAGCCTTGCTGTGGTGCCGCCCTTGTCTCTGCTCTGCCCCCAATCCTTGGGAAGCTGCTCCATGCCCTGTCCTGGATCAATAGCCATTACCCTTCCATCCTCTCTGGAGCAGGGCCAGCAGCTCCATTACTGCTGTGGGCAGCTGGGCTGGGAGGAAGGTGGGGTGCAGGGATGGGCAAGCTCCTCTCACAGGGGTGTGGGCCCTGTGCCGTGGGTGGGCAGAGCTGGGCAGGGAGCAGAGCAACAGCCAGGAGGATCTTGGGAATGCTGCAGGGATGGATGCTTTGACTGCTGGGTTCCTGCCCGGCACGGTCGGAGCTTGTGGAGGGACCTGGGAGCCCTGGCTGTGCCAAGGCCGTGGTGGCTGGGGACGTGCTGCCTCCCAACGGTGCCCTGGGGACACGGCTGGTGGGGGCACGACATGCCACGTCCCCTCTTTGGGTACAGGATCACTGGCCTGAGCCCGTGGGCTCTCTGTGGATGCTGAAGGCAGTGTGGCAGTGGGGTCCTGGCTGTCACTCCTGCTGGGCTGGGACACAGTGTGTACAGCACAAGGCACGGCTCTGCCCCACAGCTTTTGGGGGATGGAGATGGGGACAGGCTGTGCTTGGACAGCCCATTATTCCTCGTTATTCCTGCCCCTAACAGTAAATTCTGTCCCACAGCTGCAGCCAGCAAGCTGGAGATCTCCATGCCACCTGTGGTGGAAGTGGAAGTGGGGGGCACCGCCAGGATCGAGTGCAACTTCTACATCCCTGAGAATGCTTCCTACACCTACATCGACTGGTTCTACGTGAGTGCTGGCCTGGGAGAGCAGCTCAGGCTGCTGGGCTGGGGTGGCAACCAGCCCAGGGCTTCCTGCCGGGCCCCCCAGCCCAGCCTCACCCCTCACCTTGCAGGTGGACCGCAGCAACAAGCAGGTGAGGCTGTACCACGTCACGGCCAACGGGGTCCTGGAGGACGACACGGACTACAAGAAGCGTCTGTCACTGGGGGAGGACAAGGCCCTGTCCCTCAGCGCAGTGACACTGCAGGATGCCAGGACCTTCATGTGCCAGGTTGGGGCTGGCAGCTACGGCGTGGGAGAGAGCAGCACCCAGCTCAGCGTCTACAGTGAGTGGCACAGGAGGGCAGCACCCCTGGGCAGCTGCTCTGGGGGCTGGCGGGGATCCCATCCCAACCCATCCATCCTAATATCTGTGGGGTGGCTTCTCTTTCCAGAGGTCCCCACGACCCCTGAGATTGAGCCCCACTCAGGAGGCATCTCTGTGCACAGCAGTGAAATCCCAGAGGTGAGGAGAGGCTGCACACAGGGGACAGGCAGGCTCCCTGCTCGCCCTGACCCGTGCTCACTGCTGTCTCTGCCACCGCAGATTGCCAAGTGCGTGAGCAAAAACAGCTTCCCACCTCCCAACATCACGTGGCACAAGAACGGGCAGCAGCTGCACGCCCAGGAGAACCGTGAGTTGGGTGGGGATGGGCGACCAGCTGGGCAGAGGGGCTGGGGGCTGGCAGCCAGAGCAGCCCTCCCGTGTGGCTGTGTCCCCCGCAGAGGTGACGACGCCGTCGACGCTGACGCGCGAGTCGAGCGGGCTGTACACGGTGAGCAGCACGCTGTACGCGCCCGTCACGCGCGAGGACCGCCACTCCCGCTACCACTGCACCGTGCACTACTGGCTGCAGGGACAGAGGCGTGCCCTGGACTCACGGGGGGTCAAGGTCAACATCTTCTGTGAGTCTGGGGTCGGGGGGGACGCGCTGGTGCCCTGCAGTGGGGCTGGGCACTGACTCTGCCCATCCCTGCCCCAGACCCCGCCGAGCACTTGAAGCTGCAGGTGGTGCCATCCTCGACGCTGGTGAAGGAAGGGGACAATGTGACACTGGTCTGCGAGGCTGATGGGAACCCACCGCCTGTCTTCAGCTTCTTTAAGAAAAACGTGAGGCTGGAGGGGACCGGGGCACCTCTCCCTTGGCAAACATCTCCTGGTTGCTCTTTGTCCCCTGCCCGGAGGGTCCTGGGGAGGGGGACGCAGTGAATGGGTGGGAGGGGGCCTGTGTGGGGCTAAGGACTCTGCTTTGTGCCCACTGTCTGCAGCTGGATGAGTGGCACGACCTGACGTCGCTGGCAGAGCCCGAGAGCGGGGTCCTGAAGCTGCACGATGTGAACAAGAGCAGCAATGGCACGTACAGGTGCCAGTCCCTGGACCTGGATGACATGTCACAGATAGAGGAGGATGTGGATCTTGTTGTGAACTGTAAGAGAGAGGGGACTGGACCCTGTGGACCTCGTGGTGGGTGCTTTGTCCCTCCTGCTCACCCTGCCCTGGTCTCCATCCCTTTCCTAGACATTGAAGGGGTCCATGTGAAGATGGAGCCGTCCTCAACCCTTCATGAAGGGGACAGTGTGACGCTGAGCTGTGACGCCCACAGCCCCGTGGGCCTAAAATACCAGTGGAGGGATGAGAAGGTGAGTAGGCATCCCAGTTCCATTGTGCTCAGGCTTAGTGTGGGCTTTGCAGCAAATCAGGCAAGTCAGGATCTTGCTCCATCTCTCCTGAGAGGCTGGGGAAGGATTCCCTCTTTCATGGACCTGCATTGTCCACCCCAAAATTGTCACCTCCTGGCCAGGACTGCAGGGAGGTCCTGTGCTTGCAGGCTCCCTCTCTGTGCTTTGGGATGTGGGCACAGAGGGCTCATTGCTGGGGGCATTCCTTCCCAACAGGGCACGAAGCTGGTGGAAGGGAACCGGCTCTTCCTGAGCAACCTCACCTTCGAAACCTCCAAAAACTTCAGCTGCAAGGTGATGGCCCCGAGCGTGCCAGGGCTGGAGCAGAGCAAGAAGGTGTTCGTGGCTGTCGAGGGTAAGACCTGGCCGGGGTGCAGAGTGACCCCGGGGTGCAGAGTGACCCCTGCCTGCCCAGCACCCATTCCCTGGGAGCTGTGGGTGCTGATGTCCCCTGCCCCCAGGGAAGCCGCGGATCGTGGCCATCAGCTCCCCGCTCTACGTGCGCCAGGACGAGGTGGTCAACCTGACCTGCAAGGCCATCGCCTTCCCCCCGCCCACCGTCCAGTGGAGCATCAACGGCACGGTGAGAGCCGGGAGGGGCCAGCCTGGCATGTCTGAGGGGCTGCCCAGGCACTGAATCCTGCCCTGCCTGCCCTGCCCAGGCTCACGAGTACGTGGACAACCAGCACATCGCCAGCAACCTGACGGTGCGGGTGAGCCACGACCTGCTGCGGGCCGGAGCCATGTGCCGGGTGTCCAACAGGCTGGGTGTCAGTGAGAAGCACATCCAGCTGCTGGTGGGTGAGTGTCAGGCGCTGCTTTCTGGCCCAGGAGCCCCCAGCAGTGTCAGCCCCCCCTGGCCCAGGCGCCGGCAGTGCCGTGCTGCCGTGGGGGGGCTGAGCTCGGTGTCTTTCCCTCCTTTCCTGCTCTTCCAGATGATTCCATCAGGAAAGGTCAGTCTGCTGCTGGTGTCCATCAGGACATGAGTTATGCTCGCCTCTAGCCTGGGGAGGGAGCTTGGCTGCTGGCTCTGCACTGCTTCTCTTGCTGCTTCTCTCCCTGCCAAGCCAGGCCGGAGGCTGAGGCTCTGTCCCCAGCGAGGCCATCAAGTGCAGCTTCTTGCAGCCCAAACCTGCTGGCCAATGAAGCAGAGGGGATTGGCCTGGTGCCTTGCAGGAATTCCTGTTATCCACCCTCCTGTGGCACATGGGGCATGGCAGCCCAGAGCAGAATTTCTGCGCTCCTACAGAAACTGCCCCAGCAGAGCATTTCTGTACTGAAATCTGCATCCTGCAGGCAGCTGGGGAAGCACTGGAGCTTTTTTGGGAGAAGGGGCCCTTTCCTAACACAGATGGGAAGATGGACGGGGTCACGGTGGGACAGATATTAATTTCTTCCTCTCCCCATTGTGTTTAGATCAAAAGTCAACAGCAGAGAGCCAAGGGGTGATCATCGTGGCCATCATCGTGGCCATCCTCGTGGTGGCTGTGCTGGGCGCTGTCATCTACTTCCTGCACAAGAAAGGCAAGATCCCGTGTGGCCGTGCAGGGAAGCAGGACATGTAAGCACTGCCACCTATCCCCCAGGGGCCTGTGGGGCTGGGGGTGCCTGGTATCACTCATGCTTCCCATCCCATCCCACCCCATCTCACCGCTCCAGCTCTCCCTGCCCGGCGCAGAGTGGGGCGGCCTGGGGGGCACCGCGCCAGGGGCTTGGTGGCTTCTCCAGCTTCCCACAGGGCACTGCCGTGCAGGGAGGAGACAGCAGAGTGCTAGAGCAGCCAAGGGCCCCCTCCCTGGGCAGTCCAAAGCTTTCTGTGAGCTGGAGTCTCTTTGACCTCAGCGCTGTGGTCCCCCGAGATGGAGCCCCAGGGCTCGGCCAGCCACGTGCCCTCCTGGGTATCGCCAACGCGTCTCAAAAATTGTCACCTCCCTCCCCTAGCACAAAGCCAGAGGCCCGTAAAGACAAGATTGTAGTTGAAGTTAAGTCAGATAAACTTTCCGAAGAGGCGGGGCTCCTGCAGGGCGCCAACGGCGAGAAGAGAGCCGCAGCTGACCAGGTAGGACAGAGCGCTCAGGGACGGGGCTGCACCCAGGTAATGCTTTGCTCCCCTCCTCCGGCACTGCCCACCCTGCACGGGCCTCCATCCTCCATCAGCAGTGCTCGGGGGGGCCGTGGGAGGGAGGGGAGGGGGCAGTTCTGGGAGGTGACAAAGCTCTGCTGGTGGTGGTGGCAGTGCCCTGCTTGGCTCTGCCCCTTCTGCGGAGCAGCCAGGCTCCCCAGGGGAGAAGGAACTAAAATAGAAAGATGTCTGGCCAGAAGTCAGAGCAGAGACTGCAGGAATGGTTCCTTTTAGCCAGAGATCTTGGGATGAGTCTTTTGGGACATGGGCGTTCCCCTCACCTGGGATGGAGCAGCTTTGCAGTGTCACTGCTGGGCCATCACCGTCCAAGATGCAGCCCCTGAGCCCACTGTGGTTTTATTTGCCTTGGGCCAGCCAAAGATGCAGCTCCTGAGCCCACTGTGGTTTTATTTGCCTTGGGCCAGCCAAAGATACAGCCCCAGAGCCCACTGTGGTTTTATTTTCCTCAGGGCAGGAGAGAGCCCCTGCCTGGCTGTGCACAGCTCCCACTCCCCTCCTCTCAGAGTGGGTGTTCAGCCACCCTGGGGTGCCCCAGCTGTCCCCACCCCCCGTGTGTGTCACTGCCACCCTGCAGCAGAGGGCTGGGTTTGTGTTCATCCCTAACCGAGCGTTTTCCCTCTCCTTTTCTCTTCTGTCGGAACTGAAGAGCGAGAAATACATCGATCTGAGAAACTAGAGAGGAAACCTACTAAGTGCTTTCTTCCTTCAAACCTTTCCTGCTCTTGGATTGCCTTCTCCCACCCCTGCTCCAGCCCCTGGGGAGCACGGCCAGAGGCCAGCCGAGTGTCACCGTGCTGGGGACACCTCCCTGGCTCACCTGGCCATTACCTCAGCCCTGGGCTCGCAGGTGTTGCCTTAGCAGCAAAGCTGGACTCGCTTTACTACTCCAGAGAAGCCACAGCAATATTAGGAAGAATTATATCCCATTAATCCCTACTTGGTGGAAGGATTTGAGGTTCTTTCAGGTAATCTGCTCTGTACGTGTTGTGGGAAGGTTTTGACGCATTCTGTTTACCCTGACCTTGCTCAGAGAGGCTGGTGAAATTTGGGTTTTGGGATGTCTGAGGCACCTTAGCTGTAGGGGGTGCAGGTTGGAGGAGAGAGGAGAGGAAGGGGGGTGTGTTAGAGAGGTGTTTGCAGCTTCTCAGAGGGTTTGAGTGCTTTGCTTTCCCATTCTAATAATAAATATAAAAATAAAATATAATAATAAAAAATTAATAATAATTTATGCCCCTCTGGCTGCTAATAATACACTAATTAATATCAATGATAATAAATCTGCCCATTCTAATAATAAGATATAATAATAATAATAAGAAATAATTCTAGTTTTAGGTTGCAATAGGTGATTATACCACTAGATCTTAAAAAATAATATTGTAAATAGAATTGAATATTAGTATTTATTGATAATTTAATGAATAGCTAGTACCAATACTGTAGATGCTGACGTGTATAGAAGATGATAATAAACACTAATAAACTAACACTACTAATTAATAAAATATATTAATAAAGCTAGTAACCATCCCCTGTCACTACCCTGAGAGGACAGGGCAAACAATGGGTGACACCAAAGTGTCCCTTGTCCTTTGGCCCCAGCTCACAAGAATTAATTCCTGTGTCCTCATCTGAGCCCTTGGTCAGTTATTGGGGACTCAAATGACCTAAAGTAACCCCTGTGACCCAAAGTAACCCCTGTGACCTAAAGTAACCCCGGTCAGGGCCTCAAATGACCTCAAGTGACCCCAATGACCTCAAGTAACCCCGATTGGGGCTTCGAATGACCTAAAGTAACCCCAAAAATGGGTCTCAAATGACCTCAAGTAACCCCTGGAGAATCAAAAAATTCTCAGATGACCTCAAGTAACCCCTGTGACCTCAAATGACCCCAATGACCTCAAGTAACCCTGACTATGACCTCAAATGACCCCTGTGACCTCAAGTAACCCCAGCCATGACCTCAAATGACCCCAATGACCTCAAGTAACCCTGACTATGACCTCAAATGACCCCTGTGACCTCACGTAACCCCGAACAGAGGCTCAAAGGACCTCAGGTAACCCCATCTCCTCATTTCACCCCGATTCCCCTCTTTTCACCCCACTTCTGAGGCTCCTGTGGGAGGTTTTTCCCAAGTCCAGGTGTCCCCCATGTCCCCAGTCTCCCCCACTGATTTGTTTGGGGGTTCCCATGTGACCCCTGGGTGTCCCCCTTTGTCCCCAGCTGGTGTCCCCTGGATCACTGTGCCCCTGTTCATTTTATTTCTGGGCCCCTCCTGGCTCTGGAATGTTGGAGTGGGGCAGAACTTGGATTTATTATCTCTGTTTTACATGTAAAATATTCATATATGGATATATATGAATAAATATCAATGAGTATTCAATTATATAGAATTATTTCCTATCTTTATTAATAATTCATAATATATTCTAATAACTATCCTAGAATTGTGATACACATACACGTAATTCTAGAATTGTGGGAGATATCAATTTTTTTATTTCTAGAATTTCCATGCAGTAACTTCAAAAGTCTGCAGAATATTCCCATGGATTCCCTTGGATTCTCTTCCTGGGTGGTAACTTCATGTTCTTCTTGGTCCTGATTAGAGACTTTATTAATTGATTCTCTCAGAAAATGTTTAATTACTATAATCTTTATGTAAATCTTTCCTGGCCTCTGTCAGTGGCCGGAATATCAATTTGAATTTAACAGATAACTGTGGTGATAATTATAAAATAACTCCAAAGTCAGTCTGCAAAGGATCCAGGAGATTGAGACCCTAAAATTTTCTTTTTCCAGCACTTACAGAAGCACCACAACACACACACACCATCTGCTACAACAAAGGAAATTTTATTTAAAAATAAAACTTTGTTTTGTTTTCTTTCTTACTGACACAGGTGAATGAAATCCCAAACAAAGAAGCTCTTAGTGGGCAGCATACAAGGATGGAAACAATTAATAAATAACATTAGTATAACCTCTAAACATTAACAATGCATCTGCAAACAAAATGAGGACTTTAAACCAAGTGAACCTTAAAGCTCAGCTACTCTCTGTAAGAATATTTACCTTCTGTTTTTCCTTATTCTTTACAGATCTGAAAGGATTAAATACTGCTATTATAATTTTATATTAATGACACTATTATACTTTTTTTTTTAAAATATCTCGTGAAAAACTCAACATTTTTTAACACTGATATTTTACAAATTGGTATTTGTCATCCATGAGAAAGAACAACAGTAACAGCAGTTCTTCCTCCACTGGGAATTTCAAACAAAAAAGATTTTTAGGAGGAACTTTAAAAATAAATGTCCTTATTCCCCACTAATCTTTAAAGTGGCACCTCTGAGAAGGTGCCCTGGGAGTTGCATTTTTCTTGCTCAACTGAAAAAAAAAATAAAACTAACAAAAACCCAACAAACCAACCAATCAAACCACATTTACAGTAAGGAGCCTGCCTCAGGATGAGCCACAGAAATGTCACCAGTCTGGTGCAGGAGGCCCTGAGCCCTGGGGAGGGCTGGGACAGGGACATGCACAAAAAAGGGGAAGATTTGGGATTCCTGCTGGGCTCTGCACACAGGAAATCACCTGGATCCTGCTCAGGAGGGCATCTCCTGCTTCAGGACATCACCTGGATCCTGCTCAGGAGGGCATCTCCTGCTTCAGGACATCACCTGGATCCTGCTCAGGAGGGCATCTCCCGCTTCCCACAGCTCCTGTTCCTGCTGGGAGAGTCCTCCACTCCTTTGGGAGAGTTTCCCACTCCTGTTGGGAGTGCTCTCTGCTCCTGTTGGGAGTTCCCCACTCCTGCTGGGAGTGTTCCCTGCTCCTTTTGGGAGTGTTTCCTGCTCCTTTCAGGAGAGTTCCTCACTCTTGGGAGTGTTCCCCACTCCTTTTGGGAGTGTTTCCCACTCTTTTGGGACTGTTCCCCACTCCTGTTGGGAGAGTTCCCCACTCCTGTTGGGAGTGTTCCCCACTCCTGTTGGGAGTGTTTCCCACTCTTTTGGGAGTGTTCCCCACTCCTGTTGGGAGTGTTTCAAGCTCCTTTTGGGGACAGCCCCAGCATTTTTTACCCCATCCCGCGATCCCGACTTGGCCCCGAGCTCGGCACAGCACCAGTCCAGACAGGGAAGCTCCACAGCTGAAATGCTACAAAACACAGTGTCAGAGTCCAAGTGAGCATTGCCCATCTCTCCTGCTCCTCTCTTCACCCTTCCCAAAGCAGTTTGGTGCTGCTTGTCCAGCTCTGCTCATTTGGGGTGGATCCTCAGATCCAGCCTGGCCACGCAGCATCCCCTTAAGAAAGGCACTAGACATTTGGGTGGTTTTTCCTTTTTAGAGTAGCATCAGAAAGGTAATTTCCTTAAGAATAAAGAAGAGGGAGGTGAAAGGAAAGAAGAGCAATCAATCTTGGGCTTAGAAAGAACAAGAAAAATCCACTGGGCAGTGCCTGGATTGAGCTGGCAGAGCACAGCCACAAGACATGGCCAGGACCCTGCTGCCCTCAGTGGAATCAGCAAATTCTTAACGTGTCTAAGGAAGAAAAGGCAAGACTTAAGTTTCTTAAATCAGTTTGAGACATAAACAAGTGCACAGAAAGGACACATGCAGAGAAATCAGCGATACATGCCACAAAGATTGCTCTCTCTAATCTCTAATACCCAGAACAACACCCACAGGAACATCTCTTGGCACATAGACCCCAAAGACAGGCCTGGAACAGCTCTGCCAAGCAGGATTTCATGGAAATTACAGCCAGCCTGCCCTGAGGGGCTCGGAGGGGACAGGGAATCACTGGTGCCACAGAGCTGGGCAGGACAAGAGTTAAGGCTTTGGAGCTGGCTGGCTCAGCCGTGGCAGGAGTCACACTGAGCTCACACAGCAGGGCAGACACCAAACCAACACAGAGCCCAGTGGGAGCGTGGAAAAGAGGGAAATGAACCCCTCACCAAAGGGTTTGCACCTGGATCTCCAGGACAAGGGATTGCTCAGGCTCCCCACAGCATGCCACAGCTGTCCCCTGCTCCTGCCTCAGCAGCACCAGTGCTGGCCTTGCTCCTGCAGAGGCTCCCACAAATCCCACAGGGAGCAGGGCTGGCACCCCTGGCACCTGCACTGGGGGCACAGCAGGAAGAGCAGCTCTTCTCCCCCTCCTTCTTCCCCCAGGCACTGAGCCCACCTTCCCCAGGGCTGTGCCCGAGCCCTGTGCCCTGCAGAGCACCCTGCCCACTGCCAGACCTGGCACGTGCCAGCCCTGAGCCCAAAACAGCAAGGAGTGGGGTCAGGGAGCATGGCAGGAGATCTCCTCACACTGTCTGAGTGTCTTCTCCACTACAGAGAGGAGAGGAGTAAAGAGAGACACTTCAGCCTGCCTGGAAGCCACTGCAGCAATTCAGAAAGCTGTAGGTCTAGAGAGAAAGCTCACCTTGAATTAAAAACCCACTTTCTGCTCTGCTAGCACTCCTGGAGGCCTCTCTGCCACTGCAGCCATCTGGCCCAGCCCCTGGATTCCTCAAAAGGCCAGACTGCACCCGACTGCCAGAATCACTCCAGCAATATTCCAAGCTGCAGCCCTTAGCCCAGTGACCTCTGCTGACCTCAGGGAGATGCAAATAATGCTGGACATGCTCCAAAGGCCAAGAGCCTCTCGGGCTGACAGGCTGTGATCTGTCTGTGCCTCTTGGAGCTAAATCCTCTCCAAAGGAACCATCCACTCCTCCAATATGAACAGAGTGAAGTAGCTGAGTAGGCAAGTCAGGTTTTTCCAATGCAACAGCTGAGTTCTGACCTTTAAAACCATGTGGTCGCTTCACAAATACAGAATTTTTTCCCCATGTCTGCTTTAACACCAGACCTGGCAATACTTTAGAGAAATGGAAATGGAAAGGAGAGCCCCCGTGTTGTTTGGACAGCCATGCAGAGAACTGCTGCATTTCTGTGACTGCAAAGCAGGTGAAATTCCAACAAACACATCAGCTGCATCTACCAACTCCACAAAACACCCTGGCACGACGACGGCTCCTGCAAAAGCTCTCTGGAGGAATGTGTGTGAAGGCCACTAGTCTGCAACAGCCACCATGCAATGAAGATAAATAAAACATCCAATTTACCAGGTGCAACATTCCTAGGGAAGAGCAATGGGAGTGTCCAGTGA